CCGGAATAACAGAACACCAGAAAGCAGAGAGAGATACCAGAGAACCAGGAATGAGTACGTCAGGGTGAGAAGAGAAGCAGAGAAAAATTTTGAAAATGATATAGCAAACAAAGCCAAGACCGAACCAAAGCTACTCCACAGTCACATCAGAAGGAAAACAACAGTGAAAGAACAGGTATTGAAACTTAGAACAGGCGAGGACAGGTATACAGAGAATGACAGAGAGGTGTGTGAGGAACTCAACAAGAGGTTCCAGGAGGTCTTCACAATAGAACAAGGTGAGGTCACTGTGCTAGGAGAAAGGGAGGTAAACCAGGCGGCCTTGGAGGAGTTCGAAATTACGAGAGAGGAGGTCAAGAGACACCTGCTGGATCTGGATGTTAGAAAGGCTGTTGGTCCAGATGGGATCTCACCATGGGTACTGAAAGAGTGTGCAGAGGCACTTTGCCTGCCACTCTCCATAGTGTATAGTAAGTCACTAGAGACGGGAGACCTACCAGAAATATGGAAGACGGCGAATGTGGTCCCAATATACAAAAAGGGCGACAGACAAGAGGCACTGAACTACAGGCCAGTGTCCTTGACTTGTATACCATGCAAGGTGATGGAGAAGATCGTGAGAAAAAACCTGGTAACACATCTGGAGAGAAGGGACTTCGTGACAAATCGCCAACATGGATTCAGGGAGGGTAAATCTTGCCTTACAGGCTTGATAGAATTCTACGATCAGGTGACACAGATTAAGCAAGAAAGAGAGGGCTGGGCGGACTGCATTTTCTTGGATTGTCGGAAAGCCTTTGACACAGTACCGCATAAGAGGCTGGTACATAAGCTGGAGAGACAGGCAGGTGTAGCTGGTAAGGTGCTCCAGTGGATAAGGGAGTATCTAAGCAATAGGAAGCAGAGAGTTACGGTGAGGGGTGAGACCTCCGATTGGCGTGAAGTCACCAGTGGAGTCCCACAGGGCTCTGTACTCGGTCCTATCTTGTTTCTGATATATGTAAATGATCTCCCGGAGGGTATCGATTCATTTCTCTCAATGTTTGCGGACGATGCTAAAATTATGAGAAGGATTAAAACAGAAGAGGACTGTTTGAGGCTTCAAGAAGACCTAGACAAGCTGAAGGAATGGTCGAACAAATGGTTGTTAGAGTTTAACCCAACCAAATGTAATGTAATGAAGATAGGTGTAGGGAGCAGGAGGCCAGATACAAGGTATCATCTGGGAGAGGAAATTCTTCAGGAGTCAGAGAAGGAAAAAGACTTGGGGGTTGATATCACGCCAGACCTGTCTCCTGCAGCACATATCAAGCGGATAACATCAGCGGCATATGCCAGGCTGGCCAACATACGAACGGCATTCAGAAACTTGTGTAAAGAATCATTCAGAACTTTGTATACCACATATGTCAGGCCAATCCTGGAGTATGCAGCCCCAGCATGGAGTCCATATCTAGTCAAGGATAAGACTAAACTGGAAAAGGTTCAAAGGTTTGCCACCAGACTAGTACCCGAGCTGAGAGGTATGAGCTACGAGGAGAGACTACGGGAATTAAACCTCACTTCGCTGGAAGACAGAAGAGTTAGGGGGGACATGATCACCACATTCAAGATTCTGAAGGGGATTGATAGGGTAGATAAAGACAGTCTATTTAACACAAGGGGAACACGCACAAGGGGACACAGGTGGAAACTGAGTGCCCAAATGAGCCACAGAGATATTAGAAAGAACTTTTTTAGTGTCAGAGTGGTTGACAAATGGAATGCATTAGGAAGTGATGTGGTGGAGGCTGACTCCATACACAGTTTCAAGTGTAGATATGACAGAGCCCGATAGGCTCATGAATCTTTACACCTGTTGATTGACGGTTGAGAGGCGGGACCAAAGAGCCAGAGCTCAACCCCCGCAAACACAACTAGGTGAGTACAACTAGGTGAGTACACACACACACACACACACACACACACACACACACACACACACACACACACACACACACACACACACACACACACACACACACACACACTTGAAAGAGGTGAAATCCTGCAAGAGTCAAGAGAAAAATCTGGGGGTTGATATCACACCGAACTTGTCCCCCAGAGGCCCACATCAAAAGGATATCATCAGTGGCATATGCTAGATTGGCCAACATAAGGACTGCCTTTAGAAACTTGTGTAAGGAATCGTTCAAGACCCTGTATGCCACTTATGTCAGACCAATCCTGGAATATGCAGCTTCAGCCTTGAGTCCATATCTAGTTAAACACAAGACAATGTTAGAGAAGAATCAGCGGTATGCCACCCGACTCTTCCCGGAACTGAGAGACATGAGCTATGAGGAAAGGATGAAGGAGCTAAACCTCACGTCCCTGGAAAACAGAAGAGTAAGGGGAGTCATGATAACCACCTACAAAATTCTCAGCGAAATTGACAGGGTGGACAGACAAACTTTTTAGCACGGGCGGAACACGAACAAGGGGACACAGGTGGAAACTTAGTACCCAAATGAGCCACAGGGACGTTAGAAAGATTTTTTTCAGTGTCAGAGTAGTTAACAGATGGAATGCATTAGGCAGTGATGTGGTGGAGGCGTCTAGACTCCATACACAGTTTCAAGTGTAGATATGATAGAACCCAGTAGGCTCAGGAATCTGTATACCAGTTGACTGACAGTTGAGAGGCGGAATTCAACCCCCACAAGCAGAACTAGGTGAGTACACACACACCTTCGCTACAGACATCCAGGAGTCAACCAGCAGATGATATTTTCAAGAACAAATAACGATCGGTACTTTCTATATGACGTCATTTGCAGAGGGTTGCGGGTGGGGGGGGGGTTCAGAAGCCTAGTACAGTATGACGTCACCCGCCTCACGACTGCCCTGTACTATTTGTTTTTGTAACGCTGGAACACTTACCGTTTTCACCGGCCTTTAGCATGACTGGTGGAAGCTGCTTCGTGACTATTAAGGAGCTTAGTGGAGAAATTCCTGAAATTTAAACAAATTCAAAACCCATAAACTGATCAGTCTTGCAATTTTGAGTTTTAATTCGTCATAGTTTGTAATTCTGTTTTTTTTTCTTGTTTACTGTAACGGCTGTACCACTAGATTACAGAGGATTCTGTATGCATCTGGAGAAAGCTTGCCAAGTTACATGAACATTTGTTACTCGGGTGGTCAAATATTTAAAGTAGAAGTATAAACGGCAAGAATGTAACCTCATTCTTGTAACCGTCCTCAATTTGCACTGTGTTTCCTTATTTGAGGATGTCTGTTTACCAAAACATTCTCCACAGACGGGAGAGGCACGTCCAGTTACCCCCCCCCCATACTGGAGAATGGGGACTCCATTATTTTCTAAATTAAGGAAATAATAAATATATTTTATTTGTAGTCTGGCAATTTCCTTTGATAACTTTGGCATTGTTGATTTGGAAAGCCAGAGGAAAACGGTAGGATTATGTATTTTAATTTATAATATTGTCTGATATTGTCTCATTTGCAATTTAATTTTTAATATTTGTGATTTATTTGTGGTATCATGCGCGTGGTATTTGGGTGATACATGATGTACTCTGTTCAGTTAGGTGTTATTTAATGATCCAGCTCACTCTCACATTAACAAGCGTCTAATATATATTGCTTTTGTCTAACCAAAAGCAAGGCAGCTCACCAAAAACTCAAAAAGCAACTCAAACAAACATCTTAGTGCAAGAAAAACGGCAATAATTAGATGGTTTTAATTTTTCTAAAGCATTGAAAGTCTGACGCTGAGTTCGATTCGGTCAAAATTGTTGTAAATAAAATGTGAGGACAGGTTGCTAGTCGGCACATTAACCAGGACTCGCAAACAAATGAATTGTATTGAGCCATTGTTAGATGGTACACACACAACTCTTCTTGTATTTCTTGAACCAGTGAACAATGCTTAATACATACAAATTACTCTTTGTGAGAACATAAACAAACATTTGTGATTAAGGATGGCTTATTTTGTATTTTTTTAAAATATCTCGGCCCATCCTCCTGTTTTGGTAGTACTTATAGTAAATAGCAGCTCTATTTTGAATATAAATAGCTATATTTTGGAAGTAAATATAGTAAATAGTTTGGCAGTAAATAGGTACCTGGGAGTTAGACAGCTGCTACGGGCTGCTTCACGGGGGTGTGTAACAAAAAGGAGGCCTGGTCGAGGACCGGGCCGCAGGGACACTAAAGCCCCGAAATCATCTCAAGATAACCTCAAGATAGTACCGATGAGGACTATAGTATATATACCGACGTGCAACGCAATTAGAAGGTAGTAATCGGTACTATTGAGTTATCTTGAGATGATTTCAGGGCTTTAGTGTCCCCGCGGCCCGGTCCTCGACCAGTTGGACAAACCGGAAAACTATTTTCCACTTAGGTTCCACAGACAAACTAAACTAACCTAACCTTTCTAGGCCTAATACACGATATCTGAGGCCTAATATAGTACATATGTGTGCTATAATAGGCCTAGGAATATTTAAGTGTGTTTTTAGCTTAATTTTTCCGACTTTATAAAACGAATGGTAAAAAATCCTGCTATTTAATTGCTTCGAACGGCAATCTTTGTACTATGGTGCACATAGTTACAAAAACTACTATCTAAACAGAATGGGTTAATTATCTAGGAAGATGTTTTGCACATATTCCTGGTAGGTATTGAAAGTGGAATGATAAGACTTATCTACACAGTTTTCCAGACCAACTTGTGCGCTAATCACACAATACACTTTTCAGTTCAAGTACGTTTATCGAGACAATAAGATACCTCTCAAAAGGGTTAGAGTACCTTAGGCTATTTGTACCTTCCTATACCCGTTCAGTGGTTTAAATGTATTATTCTTTACTAAAGCTATGTATTGACATTTTAGAAAGCTGCCATCTTTCTTGCATAAATAATTAATTTAATGCAACACCGTTTTGGTAAGAAAGTTTCATCAACACGTTTCTTTCCCTCCTGGCAGACCAGCAACAAGATTTGGACATCCCAAGCCTCCGGGTTGATGATGGCGAACGACCCAAGAAAAAGGAACGGACTGTGTCTGGTGGCGGGCTGGTGGGAGGCCAGATGCCAATGTCGATGATGGCGCCAATCCCCACCACCACGTCTGCCATCACCACCACCGCACACAAGGAGGTTTCCATGTCCCACATCCAGGGGGTGAAGAAGCCGCTCCTCCACGCCAACTCCTTCACTGGCGATAGACCCCCCAAGTACGGCGTTGACACCCACCACGAGGACGATCTGGGCAAAGTTAGTGTTTCGTGTGTGTATTTGGTGTCAGTGCCTGTTAGTAAGGTACTTAGGGGTCAGATAACACGAGTCTAATGATAGGTAATACGAGATGTAATGACCTCTTCCTGCCTTATTATATATATGCAAAGGTGGTGAGAGCGGGTTCAGGGAACGGGGAAGAAATGGTGTAGTGTTTAAAGTCTTAGTTATATATATAATAATCGATTTGTTCATTTTTATTTTAAATCCATTCTTGTATTTCACAAAAAAAGTCCAAAAGAACGCACTTTATTCACTATTAAATTATTAATGATCAACTAAACTCATTATGTTCCGGGCAGCTGGAGGAAGTATGTGAAGAGGTAAATGTTGGTTATACACTCTACACTAGAGTCACGGCCCTCCTTAACCCCCCCTCTGGGGACTATTAGTCACTCTGCAAGTGTTAGTCTGGAGTATATCAACCCACTAGTGCTTGTCACGAGGCGTTCTATACGGATAGTGCACGGTAACGCCTGCTCCATCACTCACAAGTGTGCATTATAGTCAATGGTTTTGTTTTTGTTTCATTTCTAAATGGGTAAAATAGCCCATTTAGTCGGGTGATGAGCCCAGAATAATGGTGGTGGTTTAGATGAGAGCATGTCACACTGACGCACTCCACTGGATGCCACCGTAGTTGGGGATAGGTTATATACATTTCTTGTACACTCTGATGGGGATAGGTGATACATTTGTTGTTCACTTTGTGCACTCTCAGTCCCCCACAATTATAAACCTTGTATCCTCACCTGTATATAATGTGTTTGAGTACTACATTCACTGGGAAAAGAGTGTGTGTATATATATATATATATTGTAGGCTACTATATGTGGCCAATTTATAATGCATCTGTTAATTGTTGCCTGGTATATTGCTAGATTAATACGTCATATGTAGTATTTTATATGCCATTCAAACGTTAACAATTTGATATAGATAAAACTAATAAATTGTATGTCATCCAAACTTTAACTTAATTACACCTGTCCAACTCCTATGAAAAATAGAAGTCTGATATTAGTTTTTAACAACCAAATTTTCCAGGAACTTTGTTTTGTGTTTTTCAACTTGATTTGTTTTATTTCAGATTCTAGAGGATGTAGATAAATGGGGCATAGACATCTACAGGATATCAGAGCTCTCCAACAGAAAACCTTTAACAACTGTAACATACACAATTTTCACGGTAAGTGATATATATATATATATATATATATATATATATATATATATATATATATATATATATATATATATATATATGTGCGTAAACCCTTTCTGAATAATGACTAAATATATGGAATTTTTTTAACGTTGCATTATTCATTTGCTGGTTAATTTTGCAGCTTGTCACACATTGTCATGTCATGTGTGTGTCTCTTTTTATCTTAATAAACTCAAATAATTCAAGAAAAAGCGTGTGCTCTTCAGTACACAGCACCTCATAAGATAAGTTTTAGGAGGCTGTTAATCGTGAGAATTATTACAGTACTGTATGATTGTATCACGTAAATATTCCCTTTTTTTTCTTCTCAACAGGAACGTGATTTGTTGAAGACGTTCAAAATTCCGCCCAAGACTTTCGTAGCATTCATGATGACACTGGAAGATCATTACCTCAAGGAAGTTCCTTATCACAACTCGCTACATGCTGCTGATGTCACACAGTCCACACACGTCCTCCTAAACTCCCCAGCTCTCGAGGTGAGTCATCATCATTGGTTGTTATTGAATTGATTTGAAAGTAAATTGGGCAGAAGTAAAACTGGATTTAAGGTTTAGCGCTCTCCAGGTCAATTTATTATCTACATACATACAAGAGTTCTTACATTCTTGTAAAGCCACTAGCACGCATAGAATTTCGGCCAGCGACGTTTTGATTGTTGCCGCCGAAGGCGGCTAGTTTATTGTACACCCCATACTCATCCTGTGAGCGATAGCGCAAAAGCATTACAGAGGGCACAAAAGGTCTTTATCAGACCTCATCTTAGATTATTACATAAACAATTTCATCTATCCTTCACACCTTATAGTTACAATGTCAGCTAGTTACAGACGTGTTTTGGTCTGTCGTGGACCATTATCAAGTGTTATCGCCACACGATTTGATAATGGTCCCGGCCGGACCGAAATGTTGTCGTTTCTCCATCTTCTGATGTGTGGTTTGGTCATCATATCTTAAGCCATGTTATTGTAACTCATCGTGTTAAAACCTTGTAAATTAAAATTCAGTAAATATTTTGTGTTAGACTTCCCCAAAGCGCTACACGTGTTAGTGACTTTGCAAGGATGAACTATTCAGTCACCAAAATGTGTACTTTCACAATCCAGTGTACCTTCTTGTATGCAGTATATTAAATAATATATATATTATTTTATACTAAATAAGGCATTATTTATATATATTATTTATATACTAAATACACACACACTTTAGGTTCGTATATATACTTTATCCTGCTCCCCCAAGGTGTTACTACTGACACGAGGATGCATCCCCCATGTAAGTTGCCTAGCTCCCAGGTATTTGAGTTTACCTGAGAGTCTCGACGAGGACAGGAAGCCGGAGGCTTGTCGAAGAACCCCTCCCCCAGAGGGAGCCGGTCGGACAGCACGCTGGACTTGTGATCCTGTGGTCCTGGGTTCGATCCCAGGCGCCGGCGAGAAACAATGGGCAGAGTTTCTTTCACCCTATGCCCCTGTTACCTAGCAGTAAAATAGGTACCTGGGTGTTAGTCAGCTGTCACGGGCTGCTTCCTGGGGGTGGAGGCGTGGTCGAGGACCGGGCCGCGAGGACACTAAAAGCCCCGAAATCATCTCAAGATAAACACCGCCCCCATTTGCTTTGATGATCTTTTCCAGCCGTACTCATTAAACGCTAGCAGAGTTCTGGCATTTACTGCTTGGGCGGGTAGGCAGTTCCATGGGTTATTAACCCTGTGGGTGATTAAAGCATTTTCTCTTCTCAGGCCAACATTGTGACTGGTTGAGCTTGAAATCGTTGTTCCTTGTTTGTGTTACATCTGACGTTCTGAAGAAATTTTCCGGATCAACATCCTCCAAATTGTTCAGTATTTTAAAAGTTTCAACAAATTCCACCCTGTCATGCCTGGTTTGCAGTGTTAGCCCTGTGGCCCTCAACCATTCCTGATACGCGAGTTGACTTAGCTCTGGAATGATTTTAGTTGCCCGGTGTTTCACATTCTCTAGAGCAGCTATATCCTTCTGAAGATGTCTCCATGCTTGGATACGGTAATCCCAATGGGGGTGCACCAGAGATTTATGCAGAATGATTACCGATTCATCTACCTTCAAGGTAGATGAATTAGATGATTCATCTACCTTCAAGGTAGATGAACCGGTACCTTGTTTTCCTTGAAGTCGAGGGTAAGCTTCATTATTCCAAGTGTTTGGTTAGCTTTTGTATCTGCTGCCTCTACCTGCTGTTCAACATTCATTCAGTGGTGGATTTTGACTCCATGCCTAAATATTTTGCGCTGTTTACTACTAGGTGAACAGAGGTATTAGGTGAAATAAACGTATCCAACTATTGCCATCCTTTCCGGAAATCGAACACTGGATCCCTGCTTTTGTGTCGAAAACAAAGTCAATAAATAAATTAATATTTCCTCCGTCTCATAGTGGTTATTAGTTTCCACAGTCGTGTGTGCACCACCCCTTACAGTCATGTGTGCACCACCCCTTACAGTCATGTGTGCACCACCCCTCACAGTCGTGTGTGCACCACCCCTCACAGTCATGTGTGCACCACCCCTCACAGTCATGTGTGCACCACCCCTCACAGTCGTGTGTGTGTGCACCACCCCTCACAGTCGTGTGTGCACCACCCCTTACAGTCATGTGTGCACCACCCCTTACAGTCATGTGTGCACCACCCCTCACAGTCGTGCGTGCACCACTCCTCACAGTCGTATGTGCGCCACCCCTCACAGTCATATGTGCACACGTTAAAACTAGCACTTCGGATTATAGGGATGAGAGAGCATAGTTTGTTTAGCAGATCCAGAGTGGAAATTGGGAGACCGTGTGAATGATTTGGTGTTCGTTAATCAGATGTTTGTAAGTTGGGGACTTACTGAATAACATATTTGTCAAATATTAGTATTGTATAGTATTTATGTTCATGCATCTCTTTTTCTTTTATTCTTACAGTCGGTATTTACCAACTTGGAAATTTTGGCAGCCATATTTGCTGCTGCTATTCATGACGTGGACCACCCTGGCCTCACAAATCAGTACCTGATCAATTCCTCCTCAGAGCTTGCTCTCATGTATAATGACGAGTCAGTTCTAGAGAACCACCACTTGGCTGTAGCCTTCAAGCTCTTGCAAAATGAGGATTGTGATATATTTGCCAATCTGAGTAAAAAACAACGGCAAACACTTCGCAAGATGGTGATTGACATGGTGTTGGCCACTGATATGAGCAAGCACATGAGTCTTCTTGCAGATCTCAAAACTATGGTGGAAACGAAGAAAGTCGCAGGCTCAGGCGTTCTTCTTCTTGATAATTACACCGACCGAATACAGGTAACACCAACATTAATTTTCAGGAGTCTTTAGCTTGAAATACAGAAAGTAAAATTATCATGTCTATCATTAGCTTTAAAGTTAAAAATAAATAGCTATCTATATTATTGCCACCTACATATACAGTACTTAGTTCCTCAAGACTACAGCCTAACTTTCTCTACTGCTTTGTCTGCATTGTTATTCCTATAAGTTAACTATCTCTGATCACTTCTACAGTTGCTCTTAAGCTGAAATGAAGCCCAAAGCATTTGTTAAACCCAATCTTGGTCAATTCAATACTATGTTATGTAGTTTATAAAATCACATCTGGTTTAAACTACAGTACAACAATTACAATACAATACAATACAATTTTATTTAGGTAAGGTACATACATACAATAAATATTTACAAGGATTGTTTGACTTATAGGTATAGCTAGTACATACAATGCCTAAAGCCACTATTACGCAAAGCGTTTCGGGCATGATAAACTTAAATGACAAGCTTAATACTAATTGATGTATATTGGTTTTAAATAAGGTATTATTTAACATGCATTTATTATTATTTTGATTATTAATACTGTATTAATATTACTATTATTATTATTATTCACTGAGAGTAATCACACTAACGTGACTGCATCAATGAGAAAATCAGTAGGAGCAGTGATGAGGGAGCGAACCTATGCTGTGGGTGTTCCCACCCACAGTATCTCCATAACCCTGGACAACGTGGGTTCAGAATAGGGCGCTCTTGCCTGTCACAGTTGCTGGACCACTATGACATGGCCTTAGATGCCATGGAAGACAAATAAAACGCTGATGTAATTTACACAGATTTCGCAAAAGCCTTCGACAAATGTGATCATGGTGTTATTGCACACAAAATGTGTTCAAAAGAATTTACCGGAAAAATAGGCAGATGGATCTACAATTTCCTGACTAATAGAACCCAATGTGTAATAGTTAACAAAAAATCCGGACCATCAACAGTGAAGAGCTCAGACCCCCAGGGTACTGTGCTTGCTCCAGTACTTTTTCTCATCCTCATATCAGACAGAGACAAGGACACAATCTATAGCACTCTATCATCCTTTGCAGATGACACTAGGATTTTTATTAGAGTAGACAATATAGAGAACACAGCAAACCTCCAATCAACTGTAAATCAGGTCTTTCAATGGGCTACTGAAAATAATATGGTATTTAATGAAGATAAGTTCCAGCTCTTGTGCTACGGAAAAAATTTAAATATAAAAGCAGAAACCACGTACAAAACATAGTCAAATTATAACATAGAGCCAAAAAGCAATGTAAAGTATTTGGGTGTACTCGTGTTGGAAGGCCTTACCTTTAAAGAACACAATAAAGTAGCTGTCACAACTGCAAGAAAAATGACAGGTTGGATAACAAGAACGTTTTGAACTAAAGATGCTATACCAATGATGATACTGTTCAAGACACTAGTGCTCTCTAGAGTGGAATACTGTTGCACATGTAATACAGATTTAGGCATTTCAGTCGGTCCCAATAGTTTAGATGTTTTACTGAGTGGATTCTAGCAGTGGAGGATCTCTCTCTGCATGCTCTCCAGATCAGCAATTTTTCCAGCTGTCAAAGCTGCAGAAATTGCTGATCTGGAGAGTGTGCAGAGATCCTCTACTGCTAGAATCCACTCAGTAAAACATCTAAACTATTGAGACCGACTGAAATGCCTAAATCTGTAGTCTCTTGAATACAGATTTGAATAGATTCATAGGTGGGAGAGATACATAATAATTTACACGTGGAAAATAGTAGAGGGGCTGGTCCCAAACCGGCACACAGAAATAACACCACATGAGACCAGGAGGCATGGCAGGATGTGCAGAATACCCCCGTTGGAGAGCAGAGGTGCAATAGGTACTCTGCGAGAAAACTATCAACATCAGAGGCCCGAGACTGTTCAACACGCTTCCATTACACATAAGGGGCATAACTGGCCGACCCCTCACAGTGCTTAAGAGAGAACTTGACAAGTACCTCCAAAGGATACCTGATCAACCAGACTGTGACTAACACGTCAGGCTACGAGCAGCTGCGTCCAACAGCCTGGTTGACCAGTTCAGTAACTATGAGGCCTGGTCGACCAGTCCAGTAACTAGGAGGCCTGGTCAATGACCGAGCCGCATGGACGCTAAGCCCCAAAAACACCTCTAGGTAATCTCAAGGTCATGCACATGCTTCTAGCGGGAAATGGTATTTTTATTTTGTCTGGGACCATTATCAAATCTTGTGCGATAACACATGATAATGGTCCAGGACAGACCATAACATGTTGGCATTTCTCCATCTTCTGATGTGTGGTTTGGTCATCAATTTTTTAATTAATTCGTTTATGTAAAAATTAGATGGAAGGGAGATCTCTCCCATCTCACACCCTGATCCATCAATTAATTTCCACCCACTGTGGAAATATTCGCTAGAAGCGTGTGCGCGGGAACATCCACCGCATAGGTTAGAACCCTCATCACTGCTCCTATGGATTTTCTCATTATTATTATTCCTACGAAGTGCAGAATGACATTTTTTGGTATACAGTATAAGTAAAATCTTACTCTGATATGTATATGTTCTTGTGAGAGGATGAAATTATTCTGCATTTGTCTTTTATTTCTAAATACATACAGCATTTGGGTGCTGCTATAGACTAAACTTCATGTAATATGTAATGAATTGTTGGCAATAATATTCTTAATTTATAGGTGCTACAAAACATGGTGCACTGTGCTGACCTGAGCAACCCCACCAAACCCTTAGAATTGTACAAAAATTGGGTATCATCTATTATGGAAGAATTCTTCCAGCAAGGTGATCGGGAGAGAGATCAGGGCATGGATATCTCGCCCATGTGTGACAGACATTCTGCCACAATTGAGAAGTCACAGGTAAGATACAAGCAGAAAAAAAGGGGAAAATTCTGTTCACCCTTTTTTATATATAATTATACTAGTATTATATATAATACATGCTAGTATTCATCTAGATATTAAATCATGTGAAATATTGATCAAAATTAACATTGTTGAAGGAGGTTAAAGCTGCTAAATACTAACTGTATTAACTAAAACAGGTACTATATGGCACATTGGAGCCAAGAGGTAAGAGGGTGTTAGATACCCCAACAGAAGCTTATAATAATGACAAGGGGGTGGGGGAAGGTAATTACGTGATCTGGCGATGACTGCCCCACCCAGTTGAATTCCTGGTTAAAACAAACCTGCAGGCATGTCTCATTCCACACTTTACTAAAAATTTGACACCACGGGCAATATTGGTTATCCTACACTGTGTACTTCAACCCGCAGTCCAAGTAACCTTTTTTGCCTCTATGCATTCAGGAGGAATATCCCAGTGGGCACAATATCCACGAGTGGGATTGGTTTGACATTGAGTCAATGTTATCAGTATTGAATCAACGTTTGATGACATTGATTTAACGTTGAATTGACGTTGCTAGTTCTTGGATATTGTGCCCACAGGGATATTGGCTGTTCCCTTATGGGTTTATTCTAGTCATCACTTGTAGTCACCTATTTGTGCTTGCGGGGGGGTTGAGCTTCATCTCTTTGGTCAATATCAGTATACAGATGCTTATGCTTCTCCTCCAAATTAACTCATGGAATGGGAATTCTAAGGGAAGATAAAGCTTCATAAAATGTTTATAGTTAAACCAACTTTTCTTTTCTTTTTCAGGTTGGCTTCATTGATTACATTGTCCACCCACTGTGGGAAACTTGGGCAGACTTAGTTCATCCAGATGCACAAGACATCCTTGACACTCTAGAAGAGAACCGTGATTGGTATCAGAGCATGATTCCCATCTCTCCATCTTCATCATCTAATGACCTTAAGGAAGAGGAATACCAGGGTGATAACTCGCAAGATGTGCCTGAGGAAGAACTCTGTGCTGCTGCAGACAGAATCCAGATCCAGTTTACGTTAGATGATGAAGGAAGTGGAAAACGAGCACCGCCGGATGATGCTCAGGGTGAGGACCCTACAATGTGACCATTGGTAGCGTCCTACTGCACCAAACTAAAGCGTAAAGTGATGAGGTGGCTGCACCTCAAGTGACCAACCCTACAGGAGGTGGGAACTATGTTTACCCTCATCCCCCTCCGTGCTAGTGGCCTCATCTTCAACTTTTACCTTCGTACCTCATGTTCTGAGATTTCTTTAATTGCCAGGTGGACACTTACCATCTGGCAAGCACCAGAGCCAGAATTGCAATTTAGTGGAAAGTGTATGTTGTGCAGACACTTGGGTGTTTTTGTTAGTGCAACTCCCTTGTGAGCCAAGTGTGCGTTTTGCCACGTGTCCAGTGCGCCGCGCCCTGCAGGTTCAGGGATGCTCGCGTGGGTTTGTCTGAGCTCCCAAAGACTGGTGTGCTGCTGTTCGCCCAGCCTCAGCTGACCCATCCTTGCCTAGTGTGATCAATATTTTCTTGTAATAGTGGTGGAGATGTAGGTCACAACAGTGAACAGTGCCAAATTGTTCCTTTTAAATGCGGACCCTAAGAATGAATTATGTTTATCACAATAAGTGAGCACAAGTTTGGGAGGTTGTTTTGTGAGGACTGATCAGGCGAGGTTTTGTGTGGTACATATCAGATAGAGGCATTGATAATGGGCACATACTTGGTGCTCACATCATAATTTTGAGTGTAAGGCATTACAAGCTCTTTCATCAAACAGGTTTATTCTTCATTTAACCTGACGGGGTTCTCTGCACTTCATTTCCAAAGCAGTCACGCTATCACAGAAGCCAAAGATAATTTATTGCTTCACATTTGTGGTGGGGATTTTGGTCACCACTGTGACATCTGAGCTGCTGCTGCATGGTACAAAGCCTGAGCATTTGCACAGTAGCGGAGGGGTCAGTGGATCCTGTCAGGTATAATGTCCATTGTGACATGATCAGTCATAAAATAAAAATGTATATGGTTTTAGACAAATTTAATTTGCCATTCTATAAGTGAAAATTAACACATTGGATCTTTGTCATTTCTAGTTATGCCAATTTCATGCAGGACTCATGAGTACAGTAGTTTTATTTTGTGGTGTAACTTTTCAGGTTTTAATCCTTTAGATGACTTATTTTGACACTGTCATAGATGTGGACAAACTTTATGTATGTTTTTTTTAATAAACTTTTGAAATAGGTAGACTCGTAGTAATTTCCCATGTGATAAGAGTATTGAGAACATAGTATGCATCATGTTGTATTCCATCAGCTGCTTCATGTCAGGTCATCGGCCAAACTCTTGAATCAGGGCTTGAGACTTGCAAATCACCAAAGAGCCATCATCATCATCATCATAATATCCTCCAAAAATTAGCCATGTTTTATAAAAAAAAAAAAAAAGGCTCTATAAAGCATCAGCTGCTCAAGCCGTGGCTTCAGAATTGTGCCCATAGTGTATGTGTTGCGTAGTTCTGGCTTTACCAAGTGACGATGTACTGAGCCTCATTAACCTGTAGAAGAGTGGGAGGAATACCCATCTTAAGGTGGAAGGGGAGTGATGGAGGAACATTTAGTTTTGCAGATGTTCCTCTAGCCAGACCTGAGGACTGGGTTGTAGGAGAACACCATTCACAAGACTAAATTATTTTGATTTTTATTGTTATTATTATTAATATTTTTTTACCAATATAGTACAGTAATTGATCTTTTTTGTCATTACAACCTGACAGTAGTTGTTTCCATATAATGCAGGTGATCATTTTTTCCACAAACATTATTTGTGGTACTGTATCATATATATATACTGTATGTATGTATGTATGTGTGTGTGTGCATATATATATATATATATATATATATATATATATATATATATATATATATATATATATATATATATATATATATATATATATATATATATATATATATATATTTATATTTATATATGTCGTACCTAGTAGCCAGAACTCACTTTTCAGCCTACAATGCAAGGCCCGATTTGCCTAATAAGCCAAGTTTTCCTGAATTAATATATTTTCTCTAATTTTTTTCTTATGAAATGATAAAGCTACCCATTTCATTATGTAAGAGGTCATTTTTTTTTTATTGGAGTTAAAATTAACGTAGATATATGACCGAACCTAACCAACCCTACCTAACCTAACCTAACCTATCTTTATAGGTTAGGTTAGGTTAGGTAGCCGAAAAAGTTAGGTTAGGTTAGGTTAGGTAGGTTAGGTCGTCAAAAAAGCATTAATTCATGAAAACTTGGCTTATTAGGCAAATCGGGACTTGCATAGTAGGCTGAGAAGTGCGTTCTGGCTACTAGGTACGACATATATATATATATATATATATATATATATATATAAATATAAATAATATTCACACACATACATACACACATTCACAAATATATACAGTACATAGTATATATATGTGTGTGTGTATACTATTTAACAAGAGTACTGTATTTACATGTAAACAGATGATGAACAAATAACTTTTACCCTGTGTATAATAAAATAAATGACTATTTAAGCAGTACAGTATATCTTATTAATTATATAATTATTTTTATATATATATATACATATATATTTTGTGTTACTAACATTAGTTCATGCCTCAGGTCTAGGTGTAAAATTGTAACATTCATGAATGTGGAACATCTGTACAGACTAGATTGAAACTCTTTGTAACGTACTTTCCTTGTATGTGAATAATTCTAATGACTATGTACTGAGATACCTTGTTTTCATCATGGATTTTATTTAATTAAATTTTTTTTTTTAATTTTGCTATTTATTCATTTCTCTCTCGCTCAAACTAGATTAATCATATCTTTTTAAGAGAAAGCCACAATAATTAAATATACAAAGCACAATACAGTATCAGTGATGGATTCAGAATTGGCCAGTAGGATCCCAGCAGGCTTTCTGGTGGACTATAGCCTGGTTTTTTAAATTATGCATTTTATGTTTAGCCAATCTTAAATTAAAGTGATTTAATTGTGATCTTAGAAATTAGAATTAAAAAGAATGAATACTCTTTCATAATGTTGCACAGTTCCCAGCACAAAAATGGCTTTTAATTTAGATTAATACTTAGACTGACTGCTCTTGTCTAAGGTAGATAAAAACATGTCCACACCTCACTGGCCACAACTTCATTTGACAATTGCAGGATGTCTGGAGAATTAATTTTTTGTAAAAGATGAAAACGTAACATTATTTCTAATTCTGTTGAATATTTTTGTTTATAGAAGAACAGTTCCCAGCAGTTTATGCTGTTTTAAAAAGTAAAGTGCCATAGTTTCTCTTCAAAACCCTGGCTAAAAAAAAAAAAATAAAAAAAAAAAAAACTTAAACCTGAAGGAACCTTTTTATGTATGGCTAAATAAATACTGTAATCCCAAAGTGCTGCTTGTGGTAATGGAGGAAGTGCATTCATGGCACATGTTAGATAGTGCAATTAAATCACTAGCAATGGTGAATATATTTGTCAATGTGTATTTAGATACCTGAGTTACTTGCATTTTCCTCGATGTAAAGACTTGTATATTTTTTTGTTTTTGTTTTTTAAGTGTCATCAAGTACTTCACGTTTCTCAGTGTCAGCTGGAAGTGAACAACTAAGTATAGTATTTTGCTATCAGTATACTATACTGGTGTATACATCTACATGTGATCTAATGATTAAGCATTTTGAGCTTATCAAATGCATCATTAAGGTTAAGTTTTACATACACAGTATATATCAGAAAGTAAACCTTACTGAGGGCCCCCTCCTGTTCTATCAATCCAACCAACATATAACAATAGTAATAGTTTATACAGAAAAAAATACATGATTCCGGTATAAATTGTATGTAATGTATAGGTATTTATATTTTTTTTTCATAATGCTACTAAACACATGCAGAGAAGCGACATTTTTGTTCCTATCTTTTAATGTGGCTTCTCTTAAAAACAGTGCTATTATTATAGCTCATAATCCTCAGTACTTGCCCAGTGGTATCTTCCTAACTTTTTTTTTTAAACATTTTACTTGAGTATATGTGTATTTATATATATTTTTTATCATTTATATATGAACTGGTTGGATTTATATTGAGACTCCAAACCTCCTCAGTGTGAATGGTCTGACACAGAAAGAGCCATGGACCTACTGATACTTTGTGAATAATATATTGATTACAAACTAAAGCCTTCTGTGTGTTTTGTGTATCTCATCATTTGGCACTTGAATTTCTCAAATCATAGAAAATGTAATTACTGTTCTATGTATTTATTACCTTCATTGCATAGTGAGAGGTTTCGTATTAAGTGAAACCTTAATTGTCATTCTTTGGTGATAAACATGAACGCAAAGCAAAGAAAAATGCAGCAACAAAGATTTGTAGTTTCATGCTTGTATAAGACTTTCAGGTTGTGTTATTTTTTTTATTTAGATTGTCTTTATTTTTATTACTACATTGTCTATATATGTTACGATAAGTGTGTTCGAGTCCTCGGCAATTATTTCATCTACCAAGTTAAAGGCGAAGTCTCGTGATTATTTTAAATTATGAAACAATTTCTATTGGTTTTATGTACTAGGTGATAAAATATAAACATGAAATATTACGTTATCTAGGTTGAAGTAGCTGTTATTGATTTATCGTTGATTTGTGTTCATGTTCAATTTTTATCTATGACAGTTCTTAGACTGCAAATAAGTCTTTTTAATGACCATCTTGGGTTGACTGAGATTGGTTTATTATTTGTGGCTCTTACTCTCTGTGGGTGAGAAGGTCACATTAATTAATTGTCTGTGGGAGGATTAAACTTCCCACTGTGTATTCCTACACTGTTGCTCTAGACGGCTATGTCAGGGATACATACATACATATATACATACATATATACATACATACATACATACATATACACAAATACACAAATACACATACATATATATATATATATACATACATACAGCACACCCCTTTTGTGCCAGTGAAAAATTTGTGAACATTTGGAGTCTAGCAGCATCAGTAGAATTTTCATCAAAGTATTTATAATACACCATTTACGTTATTTTCCCTACCCCTCCAGTGTCCACGACCCCATGGGTCTGTAGTGCCCCCCTGACGCTGCATGTGGGATTGGCCACAATGTGCTGTTAAGACTCCATCACATTTTCAGACCTTTCAACCTTGTATGCTTAGTCAACTGTACAGTCTGTTGTGCCTATGTATATATGGGTAATATGAAATCCGTATAAATTATATAATTTTATGTATAATAGCTAGAATTATTTAATAAAATAAACTTTTTGAATAAATTGAAATTTCAGTTACCCGTTGAGATTGAATGCAAAGCACCAACAGCATTTTAATTTTTTTCACGATGCAACCCCATAAAAAACTGATTAATCCAGATTACCTACTTACTGCTGGATGAAAGGGAATGTGCCCAACTATTTCTGTCCTGCCTGGGATTCGAACCCGGAATTTTCAATACTGTGTCGAGAACAAACCCGACTGTACTACGGTGATACTTCCCGGTAGTACAGCCATATGTACTACTTAAAAGCATAATAACTATGCTTAAGAATTGCCTGCTGTCCAAGTATAAGAATATTTTCTCCGAGGCTATGGGTTCCTAAAATTGCTATTCCTAAAAATTAGGAATAAAATTCCTAAAAATATATATATAATGATAAATAAATTCAATTATTGTTTTAAAATATAAGTACTGTAGATATTATACATGTTTGTGTGTAAAGGTAACATACATATATATCATGATTATTGTGGGGGAGGTCGGGTAGGGTGGCGGCGACGACAACAACAATGGACGTCACTCTGCACTGTACCTTCAAGGCGGACACTTCAATCTGATGAAAATGGAACGCGTTGTTGCATGGTGGCCCTTACCCCAAACTACAGCATCCCAACATCACCTGTGCACTCATCGGGAGAGGGATAAAATATCTTCACGCAAGTTGCAAGTGCCATAAGGAAGAATTGGAGTGGTTTTGGAGTATGTCTCCTGATGGACAGGCGGGTGCTGGTTGGGCTCTCCTCGACCTCTCCGCCCTTGCTGGACCTGTCAAGGTATGGTGCTAAGTTGATAGCTCCACCAGCTAGGTACGAATTTGCCTGGCATAGTTAAATATTTTTTATATGTAAAGGATTCTCACTAGTGTTGATGTTTGCGAGACGCGTCATGTCAATAATAATTCATTGTGTCGGGGGACAGGAAGCCAGGATATGCTTTTAGTTTGTTAGGATTATACAGAGGTCCCCCCCCCCCACACACAAGGCCGAATT